AAATTATTACACACACAAATTAAGTGTGTGTGTGTGTGTGTGTGTGTGTGTGTGTATGAATGTATATGCCCTTTAAATTGAAAATCTACCTGTTTCTCAAGAAAGTAGTTAAAAAGTATAACCTTTGCGTAGTGATAGATTCCTCAAGTAATCTCATTCACTCTCATGGCATTATCATGTCAATAACTGTCAAATTTATACTTATACTAGAGGCCCAATGCACGAAATTCATGCATAGTTGGGGTCCCTCCGCCTAGCCACAGATCGGGGCTGATCAGGGCCATCTTGCCCAGTTCCAATCGGGCCTAAAAGGGGCAGGGACCATGAGAGGGTTTGGGGCATGTCTGGCATAGTCCCAACTGGCCAGACCCCAGCAGCAAGCTAACCTACTACTCGGAGCATCTATCCCCTAGGGTACAGTGCACATCATAGTGACTAGTCGGTTAACTGCTTAGTTGGACACTTAGCATATTAGGCTTTTATATATATATATATATATATATATATATATATATATATATATATATATATATATATATATAGATTGAGCTTGTCCTCTCCATTCTAACTCTGAATATTCAAGGAGCTATTCAAACATCTCCTAGGCATCTCATACTTTTAAAATATGCAAAATTAGGTTCCTGGCATTTCTCCCCAAACCAGATTCTCCTACAGTCTTCACCATCTCAGGTAATAGGAACTCCATTTTTCTAATTGCTCAGGCCAAAATGCTTGATTCCTGTCCCTCTCTTATCTCCACACTCAATCTGTCAGAAATTTACCTTTAAATTTCTCCCAGTTTTCAATTTAATCACTACTATTTTATTTACCATACCTTAAGCCCTTATTCTCCTATTTAGCACTTATCATCATCTAAAATACTATACATTTTGCTTTTCTGTTTATTGTCTGATTTTTGTACTAAAATGTAAACTCCATAAGGGCAGGAATTGGTTTGATTCATAAACCCATCTCAAGTGTCTAGAATAGAGCTTGGACAATGTAAGATGGCACTATAAATATCTGTTGAATGAATGGCATTAAATAAATTATGCTATTGCACCCCCACTAGATATTATTAATCAGACATTAGTTTTTTAATAAAAAGTTCATAAAATGAGCATCCAAATCCTTCTTACATTACCTACACATTAAAATCTTTCTTGGAAAGCATCACAGTGTATATACTGAAGAACCTAAATGAGCCTTAAAAAAAAATCAGAGTTCAAATCCTTTTCACCATTTTCCAGCACTAGCATATTATTTGAGCTCTCTGGTGCTTAGCTTCTTCGTGAAAAGATGGGAATAAAGAAACCATTCAAAATACTATTCTAAGAATGAATGGAGATAATGCATGTAGATGACCTATCATATATTAAATGTTGAATGAAGGTGATTGTCAATACTAATACCTCACATTGCTGAAAATAAATTGCTGATTACTTAGATATTTGTCATGACTTTTTTTTTTTTCTGTTAGGCAGTAGATACACAGTGATTTTATTTTATTCTCTGTTTTTCAACATATATGGGATATTTCTTAATTTTTAAAATTTAAAAAATGTTAATTTCTGACTAAAAATAAGTCAGGATTTCTAATACTTCCCATTTGCAAAGAAGAAATTTAAATATAGATACTTGAGTTCATATGTTTATCTTAGGTAAAGTAGAAGACAAAAATTTTTCTTTTTTTCTTTATTCATTTCAGAGAGAGGAAAGAGAGAGGGATAGAAATATCGATGAGAGAATCATTGATGGCTGCCTCCTGCATGCCTCCTATTGGGAATTAAGGGTGCTACCCAGGCATGTGCCCTGACAGAGAATCAAACCATGACCTCCTGGTATACGGGTTGACACTCAATCACTGAGCCACAACAGCCTGGCAAGGTGCTTCTTTTTTTAAAGATTTGTAGGTTACCCTAATATAAGCTAGAATTTTTACATTTTGTACCTCCTTCCTTTCAGGTGGAACATCAATAGATTGGAAAAAGACAATGATAACAATGTTTCCATTAACAAAAGATCTCACACAGTAAAATGTGAGATTCTCCATATGAAAGCATTATTATAAATACTAGAGCCCCGGTGCACAAAAATTCGTGCATGGGGATAGGAGGTGTCCCTCAGCCCAGCTTGCACCCTCTCCAATATGGGACCCCTCAAGGGATGTCCAACAGTCCATTTAGGCCCGATCCCTCTCACATCCAGGACTGCTGGCTTCCAACTGCTCGCCTGCCTGCCTTCCTAATTGCTCCTAACCTCTTCTGCCTGCCAGCCTGATTATCCCTAACCACTCCCATGCCAGCCTGTCTGATGTCTAACTGTTCCCCTGCCAGCCTGTTTGCCCCAAATTTCCTCTTCTGCAGGCCTGGTCACCCCTAACTGCCCTCCCTGCCAGGGTTGATTGCCTCCAACTGCCCTCCCTTGTAGGCCTAGTGCCTCCCACCTGCCCTCCCCTGCTGGCCACCTTGTGGTGGCCATCTTATGTCCACACGGGGGCAGGATCTTTGACCACATGGGGTCAGCAATCTTGTGTGTTGGAGTGATGGTCAATCTACATATTACCCTTTTATTAGATAGGTTTTTCATATATATATGTTTTATATATATATAAAACACTTTCTCAGAGAATGGATAAAAATACTTAAAAAGTACATCTTGACCGGATAGGTGACCAACAGATATAATTCTTAGAATAAAAGGTCACCAACCCAAAGGTCTTAAAATTTTAATTAAAGTAAAGAGAGTGGAAACCTTAAAAATACTGCATAATATCAAAGGCTGAAGTTTTGTTTCCATATTAAAGCATAAAATAATTTAATGATCATACTATGTGCTTATATAGAGAACAGTCTAAGACTATGTCCCTGAGGCTTTTGAGGAAAACCAAGAAAAGAAAATACTAGTTTAACAGAACTCATTCCTTCATAAAAGGAACCTCAAGAAGAGAAGAGAGTAAGAAAGCAGCATATCTCATTTTACAGAAAGGCTCATATAATACATGGTTAATCAACTGTAAATAAGTTGATCATCTGATCATGACTGATCCAATAAACAAGGTGGTCATCTGATTATGACTGAGATAAGTTTCCAGGTCCAAGTCAAAATCAGACATACCAAATTTTAAGTGAAAAAAGTTCAGTCACACAAAAATTGTTTGGCTTTGCCTTTTGGTGGGGGCCGGGGGGTAGGAGGACATGAGGAGTGAAAAAGAGATGGATATGGTATAAGAGGAAGAAAGAACTCTGTGTAAACAAGATTTTATAAAAGGAACAGACTACCTTTGAGATCGGCATACTTTATTTACCTGATATGTCCCACTAATATTTTTAACTTTTTTTTTTTTCAGATTCTCTTCTAATAAATAACTTTATGCCATCTGTTTTTGCCTAAGACAAATGGAGCTGGCAAGCAAAAGTATTTTGTGAGGTAACTGAACTATAACTTCCCCAAAAAAACAAAATTTGAAGAAAAAACTGCAAATATAATCTAACATCTGCAGTTATCTTTTTGAAAAAGTCTTTTGTTATTCCTACATTCATGGGACTTAATTTTAGAAAAATTTTCTTCAAGAGCAAGAATTGTTCATAGACCTGAGATTACTGTTTCCCACAATAACAGAGCATGATGAAATGAACTGGATGGCTTCCCCATCCTCAGATTCTTGATTTGCAGTTCCGAATATTCCTGGTATGCGATAACCCATACTCTCTCCCCACTCATCAGGATGACGTACTTTTTACTTTCAGTAGGTTGAAGTAGAGGGTATAATTAATTTTACCCTTACTCATGGTACCTAAAAGAAAAGCAAATGGTAGAGTAGCAGTTGGACGATAGAATTTTAAAAGGGAGGGGGAAAACATCCACAGGGATCTTTTCTGTCTCCCTCTCTGTCTTAAACATGTAGAAGTATCCATTTCCAATTAATAAAAATAAGGGCAAAATGGAAATAAACCATCTAGAGAAGGGAGTCAAAGTTGGTAAGAGTGGTCACATAGAAAAATAGGGAAGATTGTCTCCCGGGGGGCTTTTTGAGGAGGATCACACAAGAAGGAATACTAAAAGAACCCATTCCCTTGTAAAAAGGACATGTAGGGTGTGAGGAATACAGTGGCACTACAGCAAGGCTGATACATGGCTGATTAACTGTGAATAAGGTGGTCATCTAATGCCCGGCCAGGTCCAAATAAAAAAATCAGACAGACACATCCACACACAGAGGGGTTTTTTCAAAGTGGAATCACTCAAGAAATACTGTTTTATCTTGTTTTTTTGAGGAGGTGGGGGCAGGTTGCACTAACTCATCCTACTACTAATCATCCCCATCCTAATGTATCAGCATAAAAGCCAATAAAACTTGCCTTAATTCCAGCACAATGACAGATCCTCAACCTAAAAATTTCTGGCCTTATAGGGGGTACAAATAAGAATTTTAAGGTATATATAGAAATTTGTATGTTCTTTAAATTGAAAATCTACTCGTTTCTCTGGAGAGTAGTTAAAAAATATAACATTTGCTTAGTGATGAAAAAACTGAATTAGCCAAAGCTTCCTGCATTTCTAAAGCAGCCATAATTAGTTCTATTGCAATTATTTGCTCTATTTGGTCTACCTTAGGCTATAGTGCTGTTAGTGTCAGCATGCTGTGGATTATCTTCTCTGCAACATTTAAAATATCCTTAAATGGAATAATTATCTTACCCATAGAAGTATTTTCTCCTGATGACCCACCAACATATCTAGTAAAAGGGAAGAGCTGCTCTCTTTTACACTAGAATGAAAACCACCCTGGTCACATTATTCTGGTTTTTGAAACATCATTTTTAGCTACAAGTAGTGGGACAGCAAATAAATTTATCAATAAATAAATACAAATATCACTGCTAAATGTGCTGCTATAAGTAGGTAATAAATATATTAATATAACCTAACATCTACTGCCAAATAACTGACTTCCATCATTGTACATTCTGCATGTTTAGAAGTGCTGAGATGCTTACTTTAATTTCAACTTGCTCTTCCATTTCTTTAGTTTTTATTGTAGTGTATTCCTTTTCAAGCCTAAGAAGAAAGAAAAGGTGTATTTTGATTCAAAAATAGTTATTAAATTATAAAATTTAACACTATATATTAAGATAAAACATAATTTCATTAGGTTCCCCCAACTTATATTATCGTATATAGTGAGATATTTAATGAGAAAAATCATTCAAAGGGTTGCATAAATTCTTACAAAAATTACTTCAAAAATAAGAAAAATAAGAACCATACAAAAGTAAATTTTAAAACAGCGATTTTTAACCCTTTTCATCTCATGGTACACATAAACTACTAAAATTCTGCACCAAAAAAATACATGTCTTGCTGATCATTTTATTTACAAAAAATAATAGTAATAGTAATTATCTATCCTTTTTCCTCCAAAGTAATTTTTTAAAAAAATCAGGCGCCTACACTTATATATAAGGATTTCTGTTACCAAGAATTAACCAATCAGATACAACCTTATTATGCAACATGACCAATAAGAAGCAACTCTATTATATGACCTATATATTTATAGCTCAAGGTAGAGCATTCATACCAGATAGCTACTATTATGTTGACTATTGCCATTTCTTTTATTTGACAATTTAGAGGAAAAGAGGTCAGTACCCCTAACTAAATAGTCAGGAATTATATGTTTTAAAATTTTTTGTGGTGCGCAGGTGGAAAAATCGCTGCTTTAGAAAGTAAAATATATAAGGCACAAAACAGAGAACTAAGTGTACAGTTTCAATTCAGCACTAAACTTATACAAAAGAACTACCCATCCTCCCCCCTCAAATTAAAATTTATCTGTAGAGTTCAATCAAAGAGATCTTAACCAAAAAGAAAAGCTTAATAACAGGTATACATTCTGAGCAATGCATTAGTAAGCAAATTCATCACTGTGCAAAAAGCACAGGCCCTAGCTGATTTGGCTCAGTGACTAGAGCACTGGCCTGAAGGGTCCCAGGTTCGATTCCAGCCGAGGGCACATGCCCGGGTTGCAGGATCGATCCCTTGTGTGGGGTGTGCAGGAGGCAGCCGATCAATGATTCTCTCTTATCATTGATGTTTCTCTCTCTCTCTCTCTCCCTCTCCCTTTCTCTCTAACATCAATAAAAATATGCATTTTTTTAAAAGCTCAGAATGAACATCATAAACTGATGAACAAAAACAGATCCAGAGAAGCATCCATCAGACCATCAAACCTCAGAGGGAAGGTAGGGGAAGGTAGGTGAAGGGGGAGAGATCAACCAAAGGACTTTTATGATTTAAAAAAAAAACACTCACGCCAGGACCGGTTTGGCTCAATGGATAGAGCGTCGGCTTGGGGACTGAAGGGTCCCGGGTTCGATTCCGGTCAAGGGCATGTACCTTGGTTGCGGGCATATCCCCGGTGGGGGGTGTGCAAGAGGCAGCTGATCAATGACTCTCTCTCATCGATGTTTCTAACTCTCTATCTCTCTCCCTTCCTCTCTGTATAAAATCAATAAAATATATTTTTTTAAAAAACACTCAGGAGCCATAAAGAACCAAAATAGCACAAGATTAAATCAAATAGAAGAAAAAATGATACAATGAAGAGAAGCATTAAACAAAAGATGTATGAGGCTGCTGCACAGGTGTATGTATGAGGCATAACATGGCATGTTTCTTTTTTGTAAGTAGGAAGCATGCATTCTAAAATAATAGTAAAACAAATTTATAAACCGCTAACATAGTTGTTTACTATCAGGTACTATGCAATGTACATGATTGTATGTACTATACTTTTATAAGACCTGCAGTACAGTAGATTTGTTTATGTACAGTATTAAATATTCATTAAATATTCATCACCCCAAAAATAGTTATACAGCTATTATCACCAGCATGTCCATAGCACTTTTAATCTTATAAAACCGCATTCTCCTTGTCCTAGACCCAGACAACAACCATATTATTGTGCTTATGATTATAACAACATTAAGTTTTTCATATAAGTGGAATCATATCGTGACTGGCTTATCACTTTTAGCATAAGGTCCCCAAAGTTAATCCATTTTATACCTATGTCAAAATTTCCTTTCTTTTTAAGACTGTCTTGTATTTATTGTAAATATAATGTATTTCATTATGTCCATACACTACATTTTGCCTATCCATTTATCCTTAAGGACACTTTAGCTGCTCCCAAGTTTTAGCTAATATGAATAATGCTGCTATGAATATGGGTATACAAATTAGCTTTTTGAATCTTTATTTCGTTTTTAGGAGTATATACCCAGAAGTGGAATAGCCGGATAATATGGTAATTCTATTTTATTTTTTTAAGAACTGCCATATGCGTTCCCATAGCAGCCTTGCCATTTTTCATTCCAGCAACAGTGCACAATGGATCCTATTCCTCCACGTCCTCAGCAACATCTTTCATTTTCTGTTTATGTGACAGAAGTCATCCTAATGGGTGTGGGGTGGTATCTCACTATAGTTTGTTTTGTTTTTTTCTCAAATGACATGTCTCACAAGTCTAGAATAAATATTCCAAAAATTTATATGGAACCACAGAAGACTCTGAATAGCCTCAGCAATCTTGAGGTATCACACTACCTGATAACAAACTATCCTACAAAACCATAATGATCAAGGACGTTGAGCATCGTTTTTTTTTAATGTGATTCTTTTTTTTAATTTCTTTATAACTTTTTTATTGATCTTTAGAGAGAAAGGAAGGGAGCTGGAGAGAAAGAAACATCAATGTCTGATCGAAGTTATCATTGGCTGCCTCCTGCATGCTGAGGATCGAGCCCACAACCTGGGCATGTGCCCTGACAAGGAATCTAACAACCTTTTGGTGCAATGGATGATGCCCAACCGACTGAGCCACTCCAGCCAGAAAGAGCATCTTTTCATGTAATTATTTAATTGGCCATCCGTATACCTACTTTGGAATAATGACTATTCAAGTTCTTTGCCCATTTTTTACTTATTTTTATTTTTTAATTTAATTTATTGGGGTGACATTGGTTCACAAAACCATGCCAACTTCAAGTGTACAACTCAACAAAACATCATCTGCACACTGCATCATGAGCTCATTGACCAAAGCAAAGTCTCTATCCATCCCCATTTATCCCCATTTTGCCCATCTCACCCCCATTTCCCTCTTTCAGCACACTGTTGTCTATGTCTATGTATTTATTTGTGTGTGTGTGGGTGTGTGTGTGTGTTTTTTGCTTATCCTTTCACCTCCTTTACCTTCTTTCATCCAGCCAACCAAGCCGCCTCCCCAGGTTCTCTTTTGTTGACAGCTATCATTTTGTTCCATGTATCCATGCCTCTGTGGGGTTTTTTGTTACTGTTGCTCATCAGTTAATTTTAGATTCCACATATAAATAAGGTCATATAGTATTTATCTTTCTCTGACTGACTAATTTCATTTAGCATAATAATCTCCAGGTCCATCTATGCTGTCCGCGAAAGATTTCCTTCTTTTTTATGGCCAAGTAGTATTCCATTGTGTAAATGTCCCACAGCTTTTTTTCCACTCATCTACTAATGGCACTTGGGCTGCTTCCAGATTTTGGCTATTGTAAATAACACTGCAAAATAAATATAGGGATGCATATGTTCTTTTGAATTAGTATTTCCGGTTGCTTCAGATATATTCTAAGTAGTGAAAACTCAAGGTCAAAGGCAGTTCCATTTTTAATTTTGAGGAAATTCCATACTGTTTTCCACTCTGGCCACACCTGTCTGCATTTCCGTCTATAGTGTACGAGAGGCCCCTTCTTCACATCCTCGCCTGCGCTTGTTGTCTGATTTATTGAGGACAGCCATTCTAGCATTTGTGAGGTGATATCTCATGGTAATTTTAATTTGCATTTCTCTGATGATTAGTGACATAGAGCATCTTTTCATATGTTTATTGGCCATCTGTACATCCTCTTTGGAGAAGTGCCTATTCTGGCTCTTTGCCCATTTTTTAAATTGGATTGTTCAGCATTTTTTGGTTTTTAAATATATTTTTATTGATTTAAAAGAGGAAGGGAGAGGGAGAGAGATATATAAACATCGATGACAAAGAATCATTGATTGGCTGCTTCCTGCATGCCCCACACTAGGGATCCAGTCTGCAATCCTGGCATGTGCCCTGACCTGGAATCAAGCCATGACTTATTAAATCAGTCAATCAATAAGTTATTCCTTGTTCATAAGTCAACGCTCAACCACTGAGCAAAGCCAGCTGGGCAAATTGTTTGTTTTTTAAGTGTTGAGTTGTATACTAGTAAGTTCATTATATGTTTTGGAAATTAACCCCTTATCAGATGCATCATTGGCAAATATAGTCTCCCTTTCAGTGGGATGTCTTTTCTTTTTTTTTTTTTTTTTTTTTTTTTCTTTTTTTTTTAATTTATTTTATTTTACATATTTTATTGATTTTTTTTTGCCCCCCTCCTTCCCTCCCACGTATCCCCTCCCTCCCCAGAGTTTTATGTCCATTGGTTGTACTTATATGCATGTATACAAGTCCTTGGGTTGATTTATTGTCTCCCCCAGACCCTCCTCCACTCCCCGTTGTAATTTGACAAACTGCTTGTTGCTTTACTGTCTCTATATCTATCTTTTGGTTCATCAGTTTATAATGATCTTTATTATCCACAAATGAGTGGGGTCATGTGGTGTTTCTCTTTCATTGATTGGCTTATTTCACTCAGCATGATGTTCTCCAATTCCATCCAGGTTGCTGCAAATGATGAGAATTCCTTCTTTTTTATGGCAGCATAGTATTCCATTGTGTAGATGTACCAAAGTTTTTGGATCCAATCATCAGCTGACGGGCACCTAGGCTGTTTCCAGATTCTGGCTATTGTAGATTGTGCTGCTATGAACATAGGGGTGCATATATCCTTTCTGATTGGTGTTTCTAGTTTCTTGGGATATATTCCTAGAAGTGGGATTACTGGGTCAAATGGGAGTTCCATTCTCAGTTTTTTGAGGAAACTCCACACTGTTCTCCACAGTGGTTGCACCAGTCTGCATTCCCACCAGCA